ACAAGCAGCCAGCTGATGGGTCAAACTCCACACCTGCTCTGGTCCCTGGGCTGCAGATAAGCTGATCCTCACTGGAGGGGTGCTGGCAGCCCCTGGTGCAGAGCCTCCTCCTCTCACCCTCCCAGCTGGCCACGTCTTATTCTGAAGAGGACAAAGTCCAGCCACACACACACACACACACACACACACACACACACACACACACACACGCGCGCGCTCTGTGGCACCGCCAAGTGCAGTTTGGAGAGGCCTCGCCCAAGGGCTCGGCGCTCAGTCACAGCTGTGGTCCCTTGGTTTAACTTTTCCTCTGACAAACATGAGACCCTGCTGTGTGGTCATCCTGGAGGAAAACCCGCAGGGAGGAAAGACACGGTGACCCAAATACTACAAAGCTCAGAGTCTCAGTGCAGCCTCTTAGCGCTAGTTCAACATGCACTGTTGAGAAGAAACCTCATGTCCTGCTTTTTAAAATCCCTTTTGCCTTTGCTCATGAGTCTCAGCTGGGCTGTGAGGTCCCCAGGGTGAGGGGCGGGGGCCTTTCAGGCCACAGACTAGGTAGAGGGTCACTCTGACTCCCGACCACCCTTAGCCCTGAGCCCCAGTGCCCAGAGCCTGCCCAGGAACATCTCACCAGGATGAAAGCAAACACTGAGTTCTGTTCTAGGAAAGATCCCAGTGCTGTATCGCTGGGCTTTATTAGATATTAGCAATTATCAGTTCAAGTCAGAAGCAACACAAACACAGCTGTGTTATGATTAAGACCTGGGGTTCAGATGCCAGCCTCCCCGGCTGTGGGGCCGCGGATGAATGACCTCATTCCTTCAACAGGCCCACCCCAACCACCAGGGCCTTGTGAACACGCCTGGGGGGCGAGGTGCACCACCAGGATCATCCCGTCCGGCGCAAAAGGCTTCCTGTCTGCCAGAGACCAACCAAAACCCCTCAAAACTCATTGCCATTGGGTCTGAACTCACAGCTGACTCTCAGTGGGTCTTCAGAGGCTGTGACTCGCACGAGACTCCTCGTCTTTTTCCTGAGGGACAGACGATGGATTCGATCCAGCTGCCCTAGGTTAGCAGTACGACTCCTTACCCACCAGAACCCCCTAGGAAACAGCAACAAGACCCCACAAAAAGATGGCAGCAGGACCCTAGGAAGCAGAGAAGGCCTTCCGGCCTGTGCTCATCAGTTAATTATGGCGGCAGGCAGACTCCAAACCTCAGAAGTCCTCTTCACAAAAAATACGAAGGTTACCCAAGATGCACACACAACACTTTAGATTAAAAAAAGCAGTAAACCAAACCCGGAGCCAATCACTCCTGACTCGGGTCCGCTGTGTCAAAGAGAACTGCATCTTTACAGAAGCAGACCACCAGGCCTTTCTTCTGCAGCAACCCTCAGTGGGTTCCAACTACCAGCCCTGAAGTGAGCAGGTGATCACACACCACTCTGACATTCAAGGACCTACCCTTCAGACCAGGGGCTGCCGAGGCAGATGCCCACCTGGGCGAGGACCGTGCAGATGGTGTTTGTGAGAGGTGGGTGGCTGGGGTCTGGGAACGTAATTACAGCGCCTGGAGTCGGTGCACTAGGCCCTCCACCCGTAAAACCGGATCTGTGCAACCTGCCAAGTTTCCAGTCTTGGCATCGAATGAAAAGGTTTTCAAATGCTGCTGAGACCGCTGCCTTGTAATCTCTGCCTTTGACAAATTCCTAACTTGGGGGGGGGGAGCCACCCCCGAGTAATAAAACTCCAACCTAATTAAGACAGAAAACAACCCACAACGCTGCTGATTTGATTCTGACTCACAGAGCCCGGAGGGCTGAGCAGGGCTGGCCCATGGACTGTCCTTCGCTGTGTGCTATCCTCGGACCTCATAGCTGACCCCCAGTGGGCCCTCAGAACTGCAAATCACAGACCATCCATCTTCCTTTTGTGGAGCAGCTGGTGGATTTGAATCATGCGTCTCTGGTAACAGTGGGGCTTCTCACCCACTAGATCACCAGAGGCTCTAGGCTAGCGGGGTCTGAACCACTGAACCTAAGTCCAGTGCTTAGTCCACGGTGCCACCAGGGTTCCTTTAAAACAAAGAACCCACTCACTGCTGATTCTAACTCCTGGCAGCCATCCTCCAGGCTTCGGAGGCTGTCGATCTTAATAGGAAAGGATGGCCCATCTTTCTCCTGGGGGATTCAAACTGCTGACCTTTGGGTCAGCATCCTGACACAATATGTACTATGCTACCACGACTCCTTAAGACAAAGAAGTAAAAGGGAACTAGAAATATATGAAAAAGCCTTTGTAAGCTCATTGCCGTCAATTGGAACAGACTCAGCCGCCCCTCCAGTGAGTTTTCGGAGGCTGCGCATCTAACAGGAAACTGTCTTTCAGCTCCTGCAGTTACTGGTGAATTGAAACCATCGCAGAGGAGCCAGGTTTGGGCAGCACCTCTCTCTACGGGCTGGGCCACCAGAGCTTCCTGGAAATAAATGCCGCTGTTGTTTATGTGTGTACCTCAAGTCGGAACCGACTCACAGCTGCTCAAAGGCAGTTAATGGTACAAAAGGAGCAGCTGGTGGATTTGAACTGCATGCCTTTGGGTTGGCCACATGACATCTTTTTTTTTTTTTACAATAAGAAGTTTATTACTCCCACTCAGTAGTTCCTGGGGGCTTTGATGTTAAGTCATACATAATACGAGAAATACCAGGAATCTTCTTAATTTCAGTGACCATCTTTAACACCACCTCGACAGGGATCTCACTGCCGGGTGTTGCAGGGACACCAGTCATGAAGTCACTAGTGATAAACGTTCTAATAACCACTGATCTCTGGCACGAAGGCTGCTTCTGAAGCGGGTCCCGATCAAAATGCAACGGTGTCAAAATCACAGGCATCTGGCTGATTTCCCCGGCATACCCACACTCCCTGAGAATGTTATGGGCCTCAAAATCAGCTTGGCGCAAAGTACTCAGCACCCCTGTTGTCAAGAAGGTAGATGTAACATCTGTGGGAGGTTCTTTAACTGGTGGACCAAATATATAGACAACTCTGTTAATGTTGTGACACATGCGAGGTATAAGTCGAGCCAGGAACATGAGAGACTCCCAGTAGGGTTCGTCTTTACTGGAGATTCCACACACGTAACTGTAGGAACGGCAGTCACCCTGCACACCTACTGTTTTGATTGGCAACAAAAAGGCATTCAGTGAATGCAGACTGGTAATCTGCATCAGCTTCTCCTGGTCCTCCTCTGTTGTACAGGCTTTCACTCTTTGTAACAGGCCACATGACATCTTAACCCTAAGACATCAGAGATATAGAGCAGCTTAAAAACAAAACCCTCCAAAAAAATCCAGTCTACTCATTTAAAAACAAAACCAAGAGGAATTCACTGAGTTCACTTTTATGTAAAGAGAGCTGGCTGGGTGCATCTCTGGACGGATGGTCCTTTATTATTAAAAAGATGCTCCGTGCCAATTAACCCCAAAGAAGACGCCGCCTGCCGACCTCACACTGTCTCCACGAGGGAGGGTGAGGATCCCGGGATGGAGTAGAGATGGAGGCGGCGGACAAGGGGGGCTCCCTCCTCACTGGCACAGAGCCCGCTGGTTACAGGCTTCTCATCCTGTCTTGGTGCCACCCTAAGGGCTGAAACAGCTCCCTAACGTTCCCCAGCACCTGGCAGGGAGCCACGCCAAGGGCAGGCAGCTCCATGTCTGTGGAGGTTGTGACTACACGAAGATGAAGTCAGGAACTTCCCTCAGTGCATCCTAGTAGAGAAATGGGAGCTGCCACCCCCTTAGAGTCTCTGAAGATCAGGGGTGCTGTTCCCTTCAGAAATGAAGGCCATTGTCCCAGCATGACAGAGGCCATGGTCCAGGGGCTTGGGCACCTCTGGGGAGCCGCTGTCTCCCTGGGTGGAGAGCAAACCTCATGTCCTATATTCTAGGCCTCTCACTCTCCTTTTTGATGCCTTGCAGATCTCAGCATCCTAGGACTCAAAGGACTTGGGAGGAACCTCTGAGTCACATTAAAAGGCCTTGATCCTTGCAGGCCAGCACGGCCACTTCTGTCTTGGGTTTCTGACCACAGAGTGCCCTACGCTAACCCCTACCCCACGCCAGCTCACCTGGCCCAAAGGTAATGGTTTATTCTGGCTTGTTCCTGGATTCCCAGCTTCCTTCTTTAGTGAGGGAATTAATATGAGTCCAAACTAGTTCCAATGCTGTTAAGTCCATCCTGACCCACAGCGAGCCTTCAGGACAGAGTAAAAATGCCCCGTGGGATTCCCAAGGCGGTAAATCTTCATGAAAGCCGACTGTCACAGCCTTCTCAGGCGGAACAGATGGTGGGTTTGAACCTCTGACCTTTGTTAGCAGGTGGGTGCTCTGCCACATCACTAGGGCTCCCGCAGAATTTCCCCACGGGGCCACAAATGGCATTTTAGGTGGGACAAAGCTGTGAGAACTGTCCTTTGGGATATACAGACATTCCAGGAGTACCCCAGGGTCACAGTGATAGATACACATCACCATTTATACACATGCAGACACACACACCCCCCACACACACATTCTTCCAGCAGAGTAGGGTGGATAGCAGGGCCCCCAGTGGGGTACAACACAGCTTGGGAACAGAAGCCCCCAGGTCAAGTGACATGTTCAAGGCCACATGTCCAGTTCCTTTCGGGTGAGCTCACGTACGCGCCAGGGCTCTGCTAACATTGCAGGATGGAGCTGCCCTCTGTCTCAAGGGCATGGAGAAACTGAAGCAGAGAGAAGCACAGCAACTTCACTGAGGTCACACAGCAGGCAAATGCTATGTGGGGAGCAGGTCCCCTGGGACCTCTTCAGAGGTTCTGCTCAGCCAAGTGGGTCCGTGAACGAGGTGCCCTCCGGCAGCCAGCATCTGTCATTACTGCATCCCAAGGTCAACGGGAGCTCAGGGACGCTGAGTGGAGCGGGCTAGCTGGAGGACAGCAGCGCATGTCCAGCCTTCATCTCGAGTGTCTCAAGGGCTCAGCGGGAGTGTGGACTCCGTCACAGCACATGGCCTTTCTCCTGGCATCCTCGCTGTCCCCATTGGGAAACATGGTGGTCAGGGCCAGCGCCTCCTCAGGGTCCTGGAAGAGATCTGGAGCACAGGGGAAGGAAGCACCAATCAGAGCAGCATGTCCCAGACTGAGGATGCTGGGAACCGAGGGGGGGAATCTACTTAAGAGTCAAAGCAACGCTCCTGTCAAAACCTGAAAAGAGGACCAAGGCCCTGGGCCCAGAAACCCTATGTCTAGGCATTTATGCTAAGGAAATAATTGGGGATTATTAGTCGAACGACCACTCGTCTGTCTGGGTGTCCTGTGAACTGCTGTGATGCAGGAAGCTATGTCACTGGTATTTCCAACACCAGCAAAGCCCCCACCCCCTCTGGTGGACAGATTTCAATGGTGCTTCTAGACCAAGATGGATTCGGAAGAAGGGCCTGGTCATCTATTTTCGCAAATACTGTCTGGAAGCAATTTGTATTTGTATTTGTTTTCCTTTTTTCTATTTTGGGGCTTTAAGCTTTGCTGAGCAGAATTTTAATCTCCCTGAGCTCGCTCTCTTGTGCTCACACCTTGTATTTTCCCCTCTCCGGAGTGTGGACAAGATGTGGGAGCGGAATGGTGACAGCCAGTGCTGGGTGCCACTGGTTTGATTCTGCTCACAGTGACCCTGAGGGACAGAGGACGGCAGCTCCGTGAGGTTTTCTCAGCTGTTGAGAAGACTGCCACGTCGTCTCCTACAGAGCCGCTGGGTGGGTTTGAACCCCTAACTTTTCAATGGATAACCAAGCACTTAAATGTTGTGCTACCCAGGATGACTCCTGGGATGATATACATCATTTAAGACTCCTTCTTAGCAGACTGGAAAGAAAATCTCCTTGCAATCTTGAAGACAGTGAGCTGCTGTTGGGGGATAGGGCTGGGACGGGCCCTGCGTCAGTGAACTGGGTTCTCCTAACACTGGGATCACTCAGCTGATGCTGTTGTTGTTGGTAAAGGCAGCATCTTAACAGATAGAGAAAGGACTGATGTCATTTTACTGATTTAATGATTTCATTTTACTTGGCACCATAATCAACATTCTTGGCACTTGTAGTCAGGAAATTCAAACATGAGTAGCACTAGAAGATCTGCTGTTAAGAACCTCTCCAGAGTGCTAAAGAGCAACGATGTCAATCTCAAGACTAAGATGCACCTGATCCAAGCCACAGCGGTTTCAGCTGCTTGCTATGCAGGACGAAGGACAACAGGAGAAGAATCGATGATGGCCGGCTGACAGCCAGTAAGAAACAAGCAAGCGGAGGCCACCTCAGGAGAGCAGCAAAGGCAAGTATGCCAACAAGCATGTGGGTCTGCAGGGGACAGAGCTGCTGAAAGGCATGCAGCTGGCTGAGCCCACGACTGTGTGTGGGGAGCCTGGGCGGAGGAGCGGCTGGACGCCAGAGTTGCTTCAAGCTGCTAAGAGTGTGGTCATATGTTAAGCAGAAATAGTAAGCTAATACATCAAGTAGTGGTTTTTAAAAATAAGAGATGAAATGAGTTTCTTTCGCCCATTGTTTCCATACAAAAGTGCTGCTTTTCCGAATCACCATTCAGCTGATCACAGCAGGCTGTCCTGAGTACTTCTGTCTCTGCCATCAACGACCTTAAACCCAAACCCCCCTCAAACTGGTTCTGATTCATAGAGACCCTCTAGGGTCTCCCAGGCTGTAAATCTTTATGGGATGGGCCTGCTAATCTTTTCCCTTCAGAGCACCTGGTGGATTTGAACTGCCAACCTTTCAGTCAGCAGCCCAACAGGTTAGCTACTACGTCTGCAGGCTCCTTCCTGGCAGCCTCCCTTCCCCCGCCCCTGCGCTTGTGGGGTCCCTCTCCGCTGGCCTCCCCATCACGCTCTCCCCTGCCTTAGTCTGGTCCCCATGACCTGAGTCTGGGAATGTCTCCCACATGACCATCCTCACATGCAGCCCCGCACAGAGGCCTGTAGCTCCGACTCCCCTCTTCAGCCTCACCCCTTCTCTGTCTACTCCCTGCTACTCTCAGCGGGCCACCCTCTCCTGAGCACTCACAGGCCCAGCTGCCTCAATTTCCCACCACTGTTGCTGTGAGTTGGAACTAACTCATAGCTGACCCTCCAGCAAGTTTTCAGAGATGGTAAATTGCATGGGAGATTGCCCAGGGAGCAGCTGGTGGATTCAAACTGCCTCCCTTAGGGACTGCAGTACCGCTTTTTACCACTGAGCCACCAGAGCTTCCTCCTGAGGACCCCTCAATCATCAGCCCAAAGGTCACATCCTCCTTAATGCTCTCAAGACCCTCAGGCAGAGACTTAACTGTAATTCGCTCTTGGTTTAATGTGCCCAGCACACAGCCCTCCCTATACCGGTTCATGAGCCAGAGATGCCGGCGGGGGCAGGAGCTCTGGCTGATGGCCTGTGAGCCCTCTGCTTGGTCTGTGGACACCTGTGCGTCAAGCACCATGGATGCTGCTCTAATTCTGCCATTTCCACAGGTCCACGTCCATCCTTCCCAAGCGCTCAGCCCTCGGGTCCAGGAGGCCAGGAAGTCAAGACACTCACCCTGAGCTGGGTCCCTGGCTGGGATGTCAGCTCCGCCTTTCGTCCGGCTCCAGGGACCCCAGGAAAAGCAGGCCAGCAGTCCCGGGAGGCCGGGTCTCTCCGAGGCTCCCTCACCTACAAAGAACACAAAACCCAGAGCAATCAGCTGGTTCCGACTGGACGCGGCTGGGTGAGTTTCCATTCTGCAAACCAAGCATTTCAACTGTCAACTGCCCTGGTTCCAGATCAGAAAACAAACGTTCTGATTGGCAGAAGTGGGTGTGCTCTGATACTTAAAAAACAAATTGGAAACCACTGCTTTATGTGCCATATTTTCACATATAAAGTGCCCACACAAATAGCATGTATGTTCATACAATGCATAGAGCACGCACAGGGAGCTAGCCTTAGGGAGCTGCACAGCACCATAAATTCAGGCCTTATTAGGTTACAACAATCTCAGTGTATCATCACAAAAGCTCTATGATGGAGGCTGTGTTTGAGAAATTATTAGCAACAAGGATGGTGTAAAATAAATTATGACAACACCAGAGAAAGAGACTCCACAAGCACTTTCCCTGGGTTTTCAGTTCAAACAGTCAAGGAGTCCTGGTGGCACAGAGGTTAAAAGTGCTTGATTGGTAACCAAAGAGTCAGTGGTTTGAATCCAACACCAAGGGAGAATGATGTGGCCCATGTGCTGTGGTAAAGAATTTAAGCCATGGAAAATCTATGGGAAAGTTCACTCATGCCCACTGGGTAACTGAGAGAAGAATTAAAATCACGGCCATGGGCTTTATTGTTAATTTTTTTTTAAACTATAGATGTACTCTTTTGTTAAATAATCACAAATAAAACCATTACAGGTTGATCCTAGTTTCCTGATTAAGAATCCTGGCTGTCTGGTGATCACCTGACACTTTCCAAAGATCTGGAATAGAGTCAACAGGAACTAAGCATTTACCAAGACTCCAGGCAGCCAAAACTCACCAGAAAATCCTTGTGCATAATCCTGACTTGGAACCTAGTTCTGGACCCAATTTCAACCCAAAGGATTGTTGTTGGTGAGTGCCACTGAGTCAATTTAGACATAGAGTATTACTGTTTTAGAGGGTTTCCTAAGCTGTACTCCATGGGAGCAGATTGAGTGCCTGGTGAGTTCAAACCACCAACCTAAAGCACCTAAGCCTGCAACGCCAGGGCTCCTTGCAAATGGGTTCTCAGAAGAACCTCATTCCCTTTGAGTTGTAACCAATTCACAGCTGACCCTCTAGGGACCTTCCATGGTTGTAAATCGTAAGGGAGGAGACTGCCTATCTTTCTCCCAAGGAGACACTGCGATTGGATTGGCAACAGATCTTTCTAAGGCTTGGATACAGGGACACCAGGATAGAGGTAGGCAACCCAGACGGGTAGAGACCACTACCAGGCTGCAAGGGCGGGGTGGGGGGGGTGGAATAGGAAGACATCAAACACACAAAAGCTTAGCAACATGCAGCCATTCTGTCTAAGGGGTACAGTGCTACCCTCTGCAAAGAAGGGAAGAACTCAGAGGCTCGGTATGTTCTTATAAAAGCAGAAAAGAGTGTAACATAGTAGAGAATGAATGATCCTTTGCAGAGTGTTAACATTTCCCAGGTGGAGACTTTCCAGAGGAGGTTTCATCAGACTAAGGATTTGTGCACACATTTCGCTCTTGGGGTTGGGATCAGGGAACAGAAGACAAAGCTAGAACAGATGGACGGGAACCGTGACAAGCCCAGCATGCTTAGGGCTTCCAGAGCAGAAGTGTCAGGGCACGGAGAGGCCAGGAAGACTTCCTGGAAGAATCAGCCCAGTTGAATGATGAAATGGGTGGAGCAGAGAAAGCCTGGCTTGGGGGAACTGAAATCTTCTCAGAAGTAGGCGAGGGCTGCCTGAGGAGGCCTGGACACCTGCTCCTTCGAATATTTCCTTTTCATGTCTGCAAGCAGAGTAACAGTCCCTCTGGGGACATTTCTCATAGCTGCTCTGTGCACTTGAAAATGCCCTGGCTCCTCTAAGAGGCCACAATAAGGGACAGCGGCCCGAGGGGAGAGAAAGATTAGGACCAATTAAACAAATGAGGTCTCATCCTTCACCCAAACAGGCCAAAGGGGCAGGTGGGCTTAGTGACATTTGCACCAAGTCTCCCAACTAGGGGAAAACACCCCCCAACTGATTAACACGATAAAGCAGCCATCCTGCATTAACCCTTTATGGGACGGGGTGGAAGAGGCTGCAGAGCTGCCGAGCTCCACTGCGCCCAAGGGGGATGCTGGGGGTGCCCAGAAAACTGCCTGCATCTCCCAATTTTGCCAGATCTTGCCATATTGAATGTACACATTTTAGTCCTAGGCCCCTTTTAAAATCTTAAGTCACTGCTGACGGCTGGGGACGTGGGGATGGCAGAAACTGCGAGAGGACCCTCAATCTCCCCGCCACACTTTGGGAACGCTGCGGGGAGGGGTCCACAACCAGCCCAGGGGCCGCCAAGGAGAACGCTGGGGGTGGGCACCAAGGGTGGCGAGGTCTAGATAATTCTGTGTTCTCAGCCACTTCCCCTATAACCTCAGCAGCTTTCTTCCTGTGACCCCACAATGTGTCCCCCCCTCCCCAACTGAGCGAGAACTGACGGACCTCAAGCCGAGCTGCGAATCTTAGGAACTCTAGGCACCACCAACCCCCTAATCCCAGTTCTGCCCCTTCTCCCAAATTTGCAATTCAAGGCTTTGAGACCCTCTCCCTGTCTCTGGCTCCACCAAACCTCTTCTCCCCAAGCCTCCCAGGGCGTGCCCCAGCTTCCAGGGTTGCTCGTCTCCCGTGCTCGCCCATGCTGCGGGACTCCTGTCCAAGGCCCGCTCCGCTCCGTGCGTAGCCAGGCATCTCCCTTCTCCAGACCTCTGCTAACTGCAGTGCAGTGTAAGGACTGCAGGTCCCGCACAGCCTCACCTGGTCTCCCCGGCCCGGCAGCTTGCAGGGCCCTGCAGGCGGCCGACTGGACAGCCAGGCTGGAGGCCGGGCGCCCGGGGCAATAGGTGGCTGCCTGCACCGGGCCCCCTGCCTGGTGGCCGAACACGGTGCGCAGCAGCGCCTCCAGCCGCCGCAGCTCGGGTGCCACCGCGTCCTCAGGCCCGGCCTCCGCCACCAGCAC